ATTCTTGGGGTTGACTTTCACTTTGTGTAGGCCATCAACTGCATGTTTGCACAGTGCCCTTCCAAATTTAGAGATCGTTTTCTTTCTCAAAAGGTTGAGACGAACAGGGACCACCCCCCCCCCCCTCCCCCCCCAAACGAACGAATATCTTCTCTAAAAAAATATTGATATTTGTGGACGACCCCTAACATGTGTATTTCTCTGATTGTGAGTTGCACTCGCTTGTAAGCTAAGAATTCAGATGATGAACAAATTGTAACCTGAAAAAATGTGGAAAAATGTTTCGCGCTAGATTGTGCACTTTTGATTGTTCCAAAATCTGTTTTAGTTGGTGAACTCGATCGCATAACTTGTGTCCACATTTGTCTATACTGTATAGTAAATCACCCTTCGCGCTCGATTGTAAGTCGCACCCCCATGTCCAGGTCTAATTAAAATTAAATTTCACGGTTCGCGTGAGACTCGGCTGGAAGCCGAGTTTTCCGCATCCGCCGTGGGAACGCCACCACCCTCTAGGATCAAGGTGCAGATGCAGCGCCTAAACGGTGGGAGGTGAGTAGATCAGACCCACCACCAAGTGATCAAAGACCGAAATCCCACTAGCTGCATCCATGTTACCCTCGTGCCAGCCCACGAGTTCCCAATTAACTGTGGGTCGCAGCACGGCTGGAAAAATTCCTTCCGCTTCCAAGCAGGACTTGAACCTGGTACCCTCTGTTTCTCAATCATGGTCTTAGACCATCCCACTATGTCTGCCTGCACTATGTCCAGGTGTAGCGCTATGTCATATCCTTTCAATGTTCACTTCAGCAGTAATCATGCGCGATTCGCCGCCGTCGCACCCCCTTTGTTGGCCGTGACATGTAGTGTACAATGGTGAGACTTATCTTCAGGGAATTATGGTAGTTTGAGGGAAAGGTGCGAACGGGAAAAGTCTGAAGAAAAAATTGAATGTCGCCACCATGACTCGTCGAACCAGGGACCCTCATTTACGGCCAACAATTCTCTCCCACTAAGCTATGGTGTACATGTAGTCCTCACCTAAGAAGAAATCTAGAATTATTTATTTTTCAACAAGCTATCTTAACGTCTGCCGTGCCTCCTTTGCACCATGGGTGGTACTTAAAGCTCGGAGCTGTACTGATGAGGCTAATATGGCCGAAGCAGCTTGCTGTCTACAGCAGTGGGCAATTTGTTTTTAAAGATTCAAACCACTATTTTACACTCGTGGCCGAAGAGATCCGACCAATCAGACGAAAGCAGTGTCAAGGCGTACGCGGCCCACGCCACCCTCGAATACTCAATCGAATCGTTGAGAGTACCTACTTGCATGCGAAACGTATGTATGTTCTGATTTGGAGAGCGGAGTCCTCCGGTTCGATACAGTGCTTGGTGCCGACAGTAGCAGAGCTGTATTACACGAGTCACAGAGTACCACACGTCTGAGTTTTTGTAACTATTAGTTTCATAAAAGGGGGTTTGTCAACTGACAACCGCTCTATTTAGTTGCTACTCACTCTCGGCGCATGCGCTGGATGACAATTCTTTTATTAGTGATGTCGAAAAAAATTATTGACGTTTCGGGCCAGTCACCCATCGTCAGACCAGTATTAGTTTCACGCCAGAAACAATTCCGGCAATCTTCAGACAACTGATCTTGTTCTCACTTGTGGGCAATTCCTAGTTACGACCAGCGCCCGGTTCCAACCTGCCCGGGTCTGGGGAGTTCCATTAAACAGATTTGTACGACCCGTGGACCCATGGATGCTCGCTATACCGGCGTCTCACTGTAAATGACGTGTTGAGAATATCGTTTGTGTATGGTGCTCGGCCATCACATGAACACATGGACTGTCTTACGTGTGTGGACGGTGCTTGTGCTCACTACTATACAGCTCCTCCCTCGTTAGTAGATAATCTCTGGGCCATCGAAAAAGTTATCTTATAACCGGAGACTTATCTTGTAGCAGGACTTGCAGCTAAAGGTGAAATAGGCACTACTTCGTACTTACCGGGGCTACCCTCGATACAACATAAATTATCGATGCTTCAACTCGTTATGAGATAATTGAAAATCTCCAAGTTACTCCAACATAACTCTTCCTTGGATGCAAAGGATCGTCCATATTCACGAATACATAGACATAATACGTTTCCTCTTTCTGCTTTATCCTACGTGTTTTGGCCTTGGTCCTGCATGGTCAATATTATCTTATACTGAGGGTTTGGCTCTCCAGGGACCTGGTCGTAAGCGGACCTGTAAACAGTTGTGTAGACCACATTTCGCCAGGGGATTTCAGATTTCTATTTACTAACGGGGTTTATGTAGTAACCGTTTTTTTCTTCTCCTCCCCTTCTCCCTTCCTTGCCGTGGTTGGCTAACACCCTCTCTCTTTGTATTGGCCGGTGTTCTCACTGTGCTATGAGATGCTGTAATAAATAAATAAATAAACCGGACTTGTTATAATGAGGGAGGACCTGTATCAGGGTCTACACAGGCATCCGAAGCACTGATTGTATCTGTATTATTTTGTACTCAATGTATGCAACACTATTATCTCCACACCACCATGTTTTTTTATTTTTGTTTATGTTTTTCACTCCATTGTCGTGAGTTCCCCTTGGGAACGGATACGAGAATAATAATATACTAATGGTGCGTCTGTATGGTGCGTGCTCGGAAAACGGAAAAAATGGCGTACATAGCAGTGTAGCTGGGGATTGCAGTCGCCCACGGCTCGTCGTGGGCATTAATGACAAGGTTCACCTTCCCAAACCCATGCAAGAGTCGCACACTGCAACTAGCGTACCCTTTTTCAAAGCAGCATCGCTCCGAATATGCGGGTTAGGTACGAATATTTGCTCAACTTTACATCTCAGGATGCTCATGGATGCAGTCAAGAGTAGATATACAAGAGTGTGCAACTCGCGGATGGGTTGGCCCACGGCGGAATTTTTTGTTGACGTAATCTTTTCGACGACGCACCGCTATGAGTCTTTTGGAAAGTTTTCCCTCGTGCACTTGGCCGCATTTGCACTACAAAGCCGGTGCCCAGCACGTGCTCTCACACTGCTCTGCAGCAAAATGCGCGTTCTTCTGAAAAAAAAGGTGACGTCAACAAAAAGTTCCGCCGTGGGCGGGGGTATCTGCAGATTGTGCAGGAGAGATCCGGAGTTGCACACTCTTGTTTATCTACTCTTGATGCCGTGGATGGGGATCCTAGAGGGTGGTGGCGTTCCTGCGGAAGCGGAAAACTCTCACGCGACGTAGAATTTTTTTAAACCTCAACTTTCCTTTCAGCAGCGGATTGATGATGTGGTGTTCTCTTGCGGTGTTTTGTTGTGTTGTGTAGCTGGTGGGAGTGCTTTAGCGACCAGCCTTGCCACAAGCAGCACTGCAGCTCAGCACACCGCAGCAGGCACCCTCGTCACCACGCACGCACCGACAACGAGGCATCCCAGTCCCACTACCCAGGCCAGCAGTACAAGCACCCGGACCTGGGGTACAAGCACCGGGACCTGGGGTACAAGCACCCGGACCTGGGGTACAAGCACCCCGGGCGTGGGTACGAGTACCCAGGGAAGCAGCCCAAGTAACCGGGGCGGAAGTTCAAACAAAAACAGCAGCAGTGCCGACAGCAGTGTCAGTGAAACGTTCACCCAGCACGTGGCCACAAGCAGCATGCGCCATGTACCCAGCAACCAGACAGTGACCAGCACCGCAGACACTCCAGCAGGCAGCACTGGTGACTCTGGCAACAGTGCCAGCCCGAACGTGACCTGTAAGTCATCCTGTAAATCTGGGAATTTTCAGTGGGGGGAATATGTTCGGTATTTCCCAAAAATCAACGGTTTGGCATCGCGGAAATTTCGTTAAACCAGTTTTCCAGATCCAAAAATGCAATTTGCACACTGTGTGGCATGACATGGTTGAATTTTAGGTCGTGCTTTATTTTAGGTAAAAATTACCTGTACCGAAGTTACCGAAAGAAAAAACTCCACCGAATTGTTCCGGCTTTACGGTAGCTTGTTACATGTCTCATGACGGGAGCGAAGCCACAGCCTGACCTGTCACAGCAGTAAAAGGTCTTGGGAAACGGCTGTCTTCTGCACAGTTCTGTCCCGGGTATTGCTGCTACACGCACTAGCAGCTAAGCGATGCTATCTCATCATCCTACAATCAAGTTGCTGTGTATACCAGTAGTGGGGGTCTGCTCTACGTTACGGGAACGCGACGCGAAGAATCCCGGGAACTCTCGTCGCGTTCCCGTAAGGCCACACCGTTTTTATCTATGTTTCGCCTCCCCCGCGCGCATGTATTTCACACTGTACAGCCGGAGTTCAAAAAAAAAAAAACGGAACAAAATTTTTTTTTTTTGGAAAATGCAATACAAATTTAATGCAAATCCAGAAAACCGGAAAATGCAACTCAGCTCACACACATGTACATTGTACATGTACTACATGTGTGTGCAATAAGCTGGGCCGCAAGTCACACAATCATCATGCCGCCTGTGTTTGGACCACAAGCATGGCAGAGGGGATACACTCATGTAATCTGCTATTCCTGTACATGTCAATGTACATGAACAGTGCCGCGTCGCTTCACTGTACACAATTATGTACAAATGCAATGCACGTCTGTTTTTTTTTGGATGGCTTTTTATTTTTTTCGCCCTCCCTCATTGATTTCATCGGATAAGGTGACGCGAAACATAGAAAAAAACGGCGTGGCCTAACGTAAAGAACATCTGTTCTGCCCTACGTCACGTAGAGAAATGTGTGAGCGAGGTTTTTCTTTCTTTTCTTATCCTCTTTCGCAGGCACGTCGGACATGTGTCTCAACAAGTTGACGTACATTGTCGGTGCAGTGTCCTTGGCGGTTGGGTTGCTAGCAATGGCGATGTTCTGCTCTTGCAAGGCTAATCTGAACAAGCGGCGACAGCACAAGCTCCTCACCAACACCACCAACACCACCGTCCGCAAGCAGCCACTTCTCGACGTGGAGCTGCAGAGCTTGTCGAAACGGCTTGACCAGGATACAGGGCAGTCGTGTGCCGAGAGTGATAACAACATGGCAGAAAGCACGCTGGTAAATCGCGGCGCACAGGATGCGATTGTGTACGAGACGTTGGCAGCAGACAGTTGTCGGCCTGGCGCCAGGAAGGCAAGCAAAACAGGTGATACGAACACTGATAACAAGCTCTCATCGTCCAGCTTCGTTCTGTCCAGCAACGGTGATCGCAGGTCGGGCAGCACGCTCGGCGAGGATCGTTACGTCGAAATGCAACCGCTGCCGCACCCTCACACCCTGCCCAAGAAGAACAAGGTGAGCACGGAGAAGCCGCCGAAACTTCTGCATTTAGCGGTGGCAGCCGGTGAGCCCGACACTTCTCTGCCACCCCCGGACACTAACCTGATGTTGCCGCCGCCTCCGCCACCCCCGCCACCCCCGCCCCCGCTACAACCACCACCACCAGAGCAAATCTATATGAACGTGACTGGGTCCTGCTGAATGAACCAGCTGAGTGGGCCAGCTCAGGAGTTACGAGTTTTAGCGCTGGTAGCAGGTCTCAGCTCGTATCATCTTATGCAATCTCTAGATGCTCTCATAACTTCTGGCGGTGTCTCCAGACTCTCTCTCTCTCTCTCTCTCTCTCTCTCTCTCTCTCTCTCTCTCTCTCTCTCTCTCTCTCTCTCTCTCTCTCTCTCTCTCTCTCTCTCTCTCTCTCTCTCTCTCTCTCTCTCTCTCTCTCTCTCTCTCTCTCTCTCTCTCTCTCTCTCTCTCTCTCTCTCTCTCTCTCTCTCTCTCTCTCTCTCTCTCTCTCTCTCTCTCTCTCTCTCTCTCTCTCTCTCTCTCTCTCTCTCGTGACTTCTTTTTGGTGTCTCATCACTCTTTCATTGCAACATATGGCATCTCATCTCCGCACTGCCGCATGCATGACCCTCTTCTCCTCCCATCCTCCCGGCTTCCTGCTCCTCCCCGAGGCCCCTGCTCAGTTTAGCATGCATGAGATCCTGGATGTAATGATAATATGCTTATGTGTTAGTTCGCACGTATCCACGCAAACACAAGCGATTATTTTGTTTATCTCGGATGGTGAGCCAATTATATTGTGGTGAAAAAGGAGTCTGTCCAATAGTCTTACTAGTTTCGTCATCATCCAATAGTCTTACTAGTTTCGTCATCATCCAGTAACTTTCGGCATTCTTTTTTTTGCCAAGATGCGTAGCTCGTGCTCTTCTTCATTACGCTTTCCTTCCCCTCTTGAACCTTTCCGAACCTGAGCCTTCCAAGTTGGAAGGTTGTTGGTTTGCGCCTTGGAGAAGTGTTAGAGCTAGGTGTCAGGTCACCGAATGTCTCAGCACTCCTTTGTCAGTTTTTGTGCCATTTTGTCGCACTCGCTGACTGTATAAGATCTGGTTACGTTGGTGGACAGTTAGTCATAACTCGTAACATTTCAAGTTGTCCTCCTTTTTCACCATGATTATTTTGTTGTTGAAGACTGCTTGAATCTCAGCGGCACAGATCTGTGCCCGGCCACATGTGTGTGTGTGTGTGTGTGTGTGTGTGTGTGTGTGTGTGTGTGTGTGTGTGTGTGTGTGTGTGTGTGTGTGTGTGCGCCTGTACGCCTATGTATTCGGAAACCGTGCTGTACCGCTCACTGTCCCATTTGTGAACGCTGATGTAAGTCGATCCGGGGCTTTGCTATCCACAACTGCAACCGATCCACCAGGCGCCCAACTGCTGATGAAAGGGACAAGTTCAAATTGCAATGTCAGAATTGCCAGAGGCGTTTCAAAAGGCGAAACGACTTATCCCGTCACCAACGCTCATGTCTCCTCTCGTCTCCGTCTCGCTCAACGAGAAACACGTGGCCTACATGGCAATGTATACCAGGACCAGGACCAGATGCGCGCGCATGTGTGTGTGTGTGTGTGTGTGTGCGCGCGCATGTGTGTGTGTGTGTGTGTATGCGTGTATGAACAGTGCGGAGTGTGTCTGTGTGATCACTGTGGCCGTTGGTTCTTGAGCTGTGGTGGCCTTGCCCGTCACAAGTGTGTGGCTCAGTCCCCAGCCGCAGTGGAGCCGTGTTGTGGCGAGCATTGTGCGTCCTGCGGCCGCTGCTTCCATTCAATCCAGGGCAGGAATAGACACCGCTGCTCAGGTTCTCCCCTGGCCATACGTTAGTCTCGTTGTAACAGTCGTATGTCACCTGAATCCTGGTGACCTCTCGTTGTGTCCTGGATGCCGTGGGACGGCGTTCTCCTCTTCTCTCTCTGTTGCCCCTCCGGTGCCCACATGACCCTTGTGGCAGTGGCTCGACAGGACAGGACAGGTGTGTGTGTGTGTGTGCGCGCGTGTGCGTGCGCGTGCATGCATATGTGTGCGTACATGAATGAGTTGGTGTATTCGTGTGTGTGTGTGTGTGTGTGTGTGTGTGTGTGTGTGTGTGTGCACGGTGGGTGTGTGGATGTTTGCGTGTGTGTGTGTGTGTGTGTGTGTGTGTGTGTGTGTGTGTGTGTGTGTGTAAGCGCATGTGTCACGGTGTGTGTGTGTGTGTGTGTGTGTGTGTGTGTGTGTCCAAAGTTGGGTAAGAGTGGCCGTGAATTGCTCCGGAACTCTAACTCTAAGCCACGCACACACACACATGTACAGTGTACACATACATCATGTCATGTGCCAGCACTGCAGCAGGGAGAACTGTCAAAATATCATACCACCGGTACATGTATTACAATGAGTACTGTACTTGAAGGACTGGGTGAGTACCGCTCCTTGCCACCTTGGTACCGGTTTGTTAGTACTTAAAGGCTTTGTGCTTGCACGTCCTGTGGCACGCAAAGTTTCAAACCGTCCCGTTTGCATTACTCGTTCGGTCTGTGCCATAGCACTGTCCAGCCGTGGTTTATCCATGCGCAGGGACTGGGGACACCGTGACAATGCATGACTGGGTAAATGTATGCATTGGAACTCTGATATTATAAGACTTATAAGAGGTACCCGTGCATGTACCACCGCCGCGCTCTACCGCGGTAGATCCACATGTTGTCACGACTCACAGTGACAGCATGTTGGCGAGAGTTATAACCCCCCCCCCCCCATATACCCTTTGCTGAAGTATGTTACATGTAGCCTTTTGTAGGGCGTATGACCCACTGTAACTAGGGAAACAAAATGTTCCTTACTGCATGCAACTATAAACCGTACCGGTTGGTAGAGTCTAGAGTCTCGGTCTTGCGACCTATTGAACCGTAACGGGCTGTACATTAGGGTCCGGCGGATTCTGCCGGCAGAAAAATTGGCAGAATTCGGTACTTTTTCGGGTACGTTCATGCATGTTTGGTATGTGGATAAAGCAATGGAGCAGAATTCGAGGAATTGCCCGCCATAAGGTTTGTATGTTCTGCTGCTTTTCGAGCAGAATCTGCCACCTTTTCGAGCAGAATCCGCCGGTCCCTACTGTAGATCTACCCCGGTTCAGACCCTCATTATTCTAGGGGCCGCGCCGCACACCACATAACATTTATGTACACGTACCTGTCCCTCCAGGAAATCGCGATTCCATGGATGCAACAAACTTCGCGTTTTTCGCCTACATCCTCGATCATTTTTCTTGAAAAAATCCCCGAATTCCTGGCAAGTTTCTCATCTTTCCGCACTTTTCGCCGCGTTTTTGGCTGTTTTCTGCCGCAATTTCTTGCGCGTACTAGTTGGCAGCAACTTGGCACATAGTAGAGAGGTTTTGCATTCCGAATTTCGGAATGATTTTCGACTGTGCTTTTCCGAAAAAAGCGCGTTCCGAAAAACGGTATTTTCAGTGTTTTGCATTCCGAAAATCTGATTCGACTTCGTTTCCAAGGGTTGCCATGCAAAACAAAATGGAGAGCGTCGAAGGGATTGAGCAGGATTCAAATCCATGTGCGCAGGTCAAACTGAATTATTTGGGTGCGGTTCGAAGACGAGGACGGACTGATGGTGGACCAAGTGATCCAACAGCTGAAGACGAGGTTGGCGAACTACTGTCTTGTACTGTCAGTAGGCTTCATGGCAAAGGAAGATAGAGTGTGATGGAGTGTGAGAAGATTAGTCAACATGGCGAGATCAGCGAGAGCAGCAAAACCAGCAAAAATCAAAACTACATACATGTACGTGGAAAATTTTCAAATAATCGAGATCAGCAGAAAGCAAAAATACAAACATGAAAAATACACTTTTTTGTATTCAAATATGCACTCCCAAACATGAAAGAGCCGAAAATCCATTTTCGGAAAACCATGCACTTTCGCCACCACACTTCCGAAAGTTCGACTACTTTTTCGACTGCTGCCGCCACATTCCGAAAATAATTCCGAAATTCGGAATGCAAAACCTCTCTAGTGTTGTCAGTCACTGCAGGAATCTGCGGAAAATCTGCTCGAAAACTTGCGCAAGAAATTGCGGCAGAAAACAGCCAAAAACGCGGCTTAAAGTGCGGAAAGATGAGAAACTTGCCAGGAATTCGGGGAATTTTTTAACTGCCAAGCTGGTTGCATGCACGTGACCCGCATGGCAGGATTATCTTGTCGTGCACGTGCAGCATGCATAGCATGCGTACATGTCGCGCGCCATGTGCTCATTTTTTGAATGAAAAAAAAAAGAAGGACAAAGAAGAACAAAACTGAAAAGTCTCCTTTCCCGTTTGGACACAACTACTGTGCTGCGGCGTCAGTCATCATGGCAGCAGGAGCAGCACTACTGGAGTGTGTCCCTAACTTCTCCGAGGGCCGCCGGAAGGAAGTAATCGAGGGGATTGCGGCGGCAGTGAAGTCAGTGAACGGCGTGCAGCTGCTTGATGTTGATCCCAGCGTGTCTGCTAATCGGTAAGACGAATGTTTGTGACTACCCTACAAAATGTATTGCTTCTATTCTCCTAAATCTATACTAGTTATCATCTAAATATTGCGACAGAGCTTTCGGCCATATTTTCAATTCATTGCATTCCCAACTCATCACAACCACGCGCTCTTCAGCCGAACCGTACAGACACCAGCAAGGACACTTCCGTTGAGAGATAATAATTATTGCTCCACGCCTCTAGACAGCTGTTTCGCTCCCTGTCGGAGCTCATCAGTAGAGGATGATAATGATGATAATGGAGGAATGATCATTCTTATACACAAGAAATGGCGCAAGTGCGCGCTTTCCACATATATCAATGGCATATGCAAGCTGCTAAAATGGTAAAGTGTGAGAACAGCGATAAATAATCATAGTACGCGCTCATTGGTGGAGAAACACACCACACAGGCGACGAAAATCTTACGTGGAATACTGATGCCAAAGGAAAGTACATGTATGTTGTTTATTATTATGATGTTGCAATGTCCATGTATGCAGGCCAGGCGAGACTCACCGCCGAGATCCCCCAACGCGACAGGCTCGGTTGCCGTTCAGGATTCACACCGACCTGTCCGCCCGTCAACAGGATCGACAGCGGGAGGCCCCACTGATGCCGATGTCGATGCACACCAGGAAACTTGTAGTCGTGAGTGGGATACTAACACGTCCATCGGCAACCACTGACAAACGAGAGGCCAGCTGGGGCATTCACTCCAGTCAGGGATGCTTGGTCGACGCTTCGTATCAGCAGCTCAGCTCATTTTGATCAAACAAAGATGTTGCAGATGTGTCTTGCTTTTCTCCTTCCTTCTTCACCGACTCGTCTTGTCATCTCTCCTTCTTTCTTCACCGACTCTTCGTGTCCACTCTGCTCTGCCACTAACGGCGCATTAAAACTTCAGAACTAAATATTGCGACAGAGCTTTCGGCCATATTTTCAATTCATTGCATTCCCAACTCATCACAACCACGCGCTCTTCAGCCGAACCGTACAGACACCAGCAAGGACACTTCCGTTGAGAGATAATAATTATTGCTCCACGCCTCTAGACAGCTGTTTCGCTCCCTGTCGGAGCTCATCAGTAGAGGATGATAATGATGATAATGGAGGAATGATCATTCTTATACACAAGAAATGGCGCAAGTGCGCGCTTTCCACATATATCAATGGCATATGCAAGCTGCTAAAATGGTAAAGTGTGAGAACAGCGATAAATAATCATAGTACGCGCTCATTGGTGGAGAAACACACCACACAGGCGACGAAAATCTTACGCGGAATACTGATGCCAAAGGAAAGTACATGTATGAGTTGGGAATGCAATGAATTGAAAATATGGCCGAAAGCTCTGTCGCAATATTTAGTTCTGAAGTTTTAATGCGCCGTTAGTGGCAGAGCAGAGTGGACACGAAGAGGCGGTGAAGAAAGAAGGAGAGATGACAAGACGAGTCGGTGAAGAAGGAAGGAGAAAAGCAAGACACATCTGCAACATCTTTGTTTGATCAAAATGAGCTGAGCTGCTGATACGAAGCGTCGACCAAGCATCCCTGACTGGAGTGAATGCCCCAGCTGGCCTCTCGTTTGTCAGTGGTTGCCGATGGACGTGTTAGTATCACACTCACGACTACAAGTTTCCTGGTGTGCATCGACATCGGCATCAGTGGGGCCTCCCGCTGTCGATCCTGTTGACGGGTGGACAGGTCGGTGTGAATCCTGAACGGCAACCGAGCCTGTCGCGTTGGGGGATCTCGGCGGTGAGTCTCGCCTGGACTGCATACATGGACATTGCAACATCATAATAATAAACAACATACATGTACTTTCCTTTGGCATCAGTATTCCGCGTAAGATTTTCGTCGCCTGTGTGGTGTGTTTCTCCACCAATGAGCGCGTACTATGATTATTTATCGCTGTTCTCACACTTTACCATTTTAGCAGCTTGCATATGCCATTGATATATGTGGAAAGCGCGCACTTGCGCCATTTCTTGTGTATAAGAATGATCATTCCTCCATTATCATCATTATCATCCTCTACTGATGAGCTCCGACAGGGAGCGAAACAGCTGTCTAGAGGCGTGGAGCAATAATTATTATCTCTCAACGGAAGTGTCCTTGCTGGTGTCTGTACGGTTCGGCTGAAGAGCGCGTGGTTGTGATGAGTTGGGAATGCAATGAATAGTTATCATCTAGACAATAAAAATGGGTTGTGAGAAACACTGGCTCGCACTCAATCATTACAATGTAGATTCTATCTACTAGTAGATAATTTTTCGACAGACACTTGTTGGCAAGCAAAATAACAGTACGTGTACAGGGTTTGGAGAACGATCATGAGCAGGTGTCACAGACTGCCACCATAGCTGAACGATCATGAGCAGGTGTCACAGACTGCCACCATAGCTGTTGTTGGTGGTGGCGGTGAGTATGGAGCAGCATGTTCCACGACCTCCGCGCACCACAATAGTTTGTCTTCTGCCGTCAGATTTAGAATAGAGAGAGAGATACCCTTGGCTTTGAGATCAAGCGCTGCTGCATCCTTCCGCTTTTCCCCATGGACAGCATGGCGGACGAGTGAGGGGCAGCTAGCCAAATAGAAGTTTCTCGGGAAGCCAGCAGTTGGGCATTCTGGCCAGCTGACCCAACCAATCAGGGTGGCGCTGACACATGTTGACATGAGAATTTCACTTGTTCGGTAAACAGTACAAGCGTGCAAAGAGAGAAACACAAAAGAAAAATAAGCAGGCACAGCAATGGCGAAAGTCAATGGGGTTGGTGTGCCATAAATGTAGTGAGTGTGTCGGCGAAAGTGCTGCAAGAGGGATTGTTTGAATTCGGGGAGACAGGTTATAGTTTTCTTCCCGTAGCACGTGAAACTCCTGTCGGGGAATCTCAAGCACGCACACAGAGTGCACCCGACACAACGAACACCCACTCAGTTCATATGGTTTACAAAGTTGAATGCATGATAGGATTAAAGTAACGGGAAGAGAAATAGAAAGTCGAAACTGTCTTCATGCCATTGCAATAATAATTACAACCACTGAACACCGCGTGGTTGAGAGCTCTATCTGCTCAGGGGGTGCATGCATGCGTGCACAGCACACCCACACGTAATGAGTCTGAAGCACATGCCAGTACGTCATATTAGGACGTGACGTGGCAACGTGATACTAGTACATGCCCCCTAGTGACAATTGTCACTAAAAATGAGGAGAAGAAGATAAAAAACAGTACCAATTATCGCAGAATAGGAGCCAATAAATTGAGAAAACAAAACAAAAGAACCAAATTTATGACACACACTATTAACCCTTTGTGGACGGACTGTACGAGTTTCGATCTAATAAGATCGAAACTTCGTAACTTCGTAACTCCATTGTTTCTTGAGCAAATTCCACAATCGAAGGGTCTACGTGGTAGCGGGAACTCCAAGCTGTCCAATGCAACAATCGCCGAAGAGTTACGATGTCGGACGCCAGAGATATCGCACGCCGTATTCTTACCTCGGCAAATTCAAATTTTTGATCAATCATTTCGCCATTTTGGGGGAAAATCCCTTTTCGTGTGCTCTTTGAGCGACTCAGCACATGATAATGACGTAGCCGGCTGAAGTTTGAATCGTCTCAAACAGATTTGAGCGTTCTGCGATGAAGGAGAGTGGAATGGCGTTGATGGGACAAATTTGCTTGCATATCAGGCTTGGAGACGACTTTGCTGTGTTACCGCGCCTGATTTGTGGCGGCTGGATAATGGAGATTGGTACCCTGGCGTTGCTCTCGTCAAGAGCTTTCCAATGAGCCCTTGATTGTGAAAATCAAGTGAAGGACACCAAAGTTTTGACATGGTAAAGTTGAAAATTGTACTGACATTTTGTAATTCTGGTGCGTACTGTGCTAGTAATCCGTCCATAAAGGGTTAAACGTCAATCGTCAGAGACGGCCAAAACACGAATTAGAGTCACGAGTCAGACCCAAACTCGGACAAAGCAGAGAACATAGTGGTCTCAAGAGCCATACCTACTAGGCTCACGGAGCAGGGCTCTGTCGCGGAGAAGACGACCACCAGCGGTGTCATCAGGTACACCAGCCAAAGGCACATGGTCCAACGGCTCGTCATCGATAATACTAGCTACATCTAGTGGCTCAGGGATACGACTGGAATGACTTCCAGCAGGCTTCAGCAGCTCTGTGTTGACGAGTTTTTCTGCTGTGCCACGGCCAATCACGACAGTTGAGGGACCAACGACTCGCTTGACGATCCAACCTTCTTCGAATTCGGGGAGTCGTTTCTGGTGCCGGTGTGGACGGCGGAAGAGAACAGACTCTCCAGCCGAGAACGCTTGAGTTGGCTCCTCGACAAAATCGCAGGACGACAACTCTGATTCCAGGAGATCGTACATGGCTGAGGCGCGACGCTGTATTTCCTCCGTCCAGCGGGGAAACGACCAATCTGTTGGGGTAGCATCCACCACGAGACTGCGGGGCTGCCAGCCAACCATTGCTTGCATAGGTGAGACACCGGTGACACTGTGGGGCCTGTTGCGGTAGAAGTACAGGAGCATAGCTAGGTCAACCTGCCAATCACTGGACTCGTCGAGGACCTTCCGCACCAAGGTCAACAGCGTTTGGTTGAACCGTTCTGCGGCACCTTGCGATTGGGGGTGGCGAACTGCGCCAAAACACACGTTGACCCCAAATACCTTGTAGAGGGATGACATCAGGGCATTGTGAAGCTCGGTGCCGTTGTCGGAGCGGATAACATGGGGAGGACCCCACCGAGTGCAGACACTAACAAATGCATCGGCGACAGACTCAGCATCATGGCGAACAAGTGGGACGACCTCCACCCACTTGGTGAAGGTGTCAATGCAGACAAGAACGCAGTGATATCGGCCAGACTTGTTGGTACCAAGCTCGAGCGTGTCAATTTGCACAACATGCCAGGGACCATCGGGAGTTACAGGTCGCGTTGGTTGCGG